TCTTGCGCGTAAGCGAGATGTCGTGTCAGTGCAATAAGCGCTTCGAAGCAGCAGTCCCGTAGAGATTCAGACGCGGAGGTACTGCGCGACATGTCGGTAGACAAGCCGGCGCGGCAGCACAGGGCAGAGGCTTGGCCAGAGGTTTGCACGTGTGCTGCATGCTGTGCTGTGGTGTTTCTCATGCACACCCATGTTTGGCCGACTTCGCGCTTCAGGCTCTTCGTCGCTTGGGTGAGATCATGCAGGTTGGGAGGGGCTCTGTTTGTTTTTCCGTCTCTGTTTTTGTGTGAAAGAGCCCTAGTGGCGTCTGTTTCCAGGAGCCCATGAAGGAGATGAGAGCCGACCAGAGCGCCTCCAAGCTCCAGCTTGAGGAGGCCCGGGCCCGCGGATGCTCCAACAGCGGGTCTTTCCGGCGGGACGCCGGGCGGGGACGGGCGCTCAGGTGCCGTCTGTTGAGAGGCGATTGAGTTCAAGGCTCACGGGTGCGGTCACCTTTCCTGACCGTCAGACTTTGCAACTTCAGGTCTTCGATTCTCGCTCGATTGCCTCGCGTGTCTTGGCGCTCTCGCAAACGCGAAAGCAAAGAGGCCGGCACCCTGGCCGGCCGGTTTTCCCCGACACCGGCACTTTCCTTCCAAGCACTGTTGAGTGGCACTGGCTCAGCATCGGCGTCTATTTTCGGAACGCCGCTCAAGAACACAGACAAAAGCTTTGGGAAGGATTGCTTCGCATGGCTTGCCACACCGCGCACATGTCTCATGCAGCCGCTTTTCCTTGATAGTGATTGTCGTTGGTAATTGGCGCCCGAGGCAAGGACCAAGCAGCAGGAGACCAAGCAGAAGCAGATGGAGGCTCTCTCATCGGCAGAGAGCGCAAGCGTCCTGGGCTGTGTGTTCAAGGCGGCTCTGGTGCTCATGGCTGCCGGCGCTTCCACCGATGATGTGGACGACATGTTGGCTGCAAGGCGCATTCCGGATGAGACGTTCTCACATGCCAATGCACACTCGACTGGCAGGTCTGCAATGGAAGCCGAGCTCGACCCGTTTCACAGCGCCGTGTAAGGCTACGACTCGATGCGCAGCCAGTTTTTCTGAGTTTTAAACTATGCAGGGATCACGGATGATCACGGCATGTATCGTCCGGTCGATTACTTGGACGCCCCGGCGTTTTGCCACAGCGTATTGCGCGGTCGTTCCTGCAGCTGTTTGTTTAAAACATTCAGGGCCAGCAAGCCGATGTAGTCACAGCCGATGCGTCGTACATGTGCTCAACTTCAAGCTACGAAAGCAATCACCACTCCAAGCCTGATGGAACACAGACGCGCAAACACCGGGCCAGATTGAACCGCCCATCACTGCCTAATCTCACTGCTATGGAGGGCGTGGCGGCAGGGGCAGCTGTTGAATTCAAGGCTGTGTGACTGTCTGCTTTCTTCGTTGTTTCCACGGTCATTCGGTGACGTGAGGTCAAGGAGAAGGCCGTTTTGGCTTACCTCCTCACCATACCCGAGGTTTCCTTCCAAATCTGATCAGCGAGAGTTTTGGACAGTGTTATTGTTGAGGTTAAGAGTGCCGTCAAACTGCAACGAGATGGCAGAACCCAAGCCGTTCGGCTGCACCGTGACGTCTTCTCATGCTCATGCTTAGGCTGTTGAGCCCCATATCAGGAGGCAAAATCGACCATGAGAGCAGCTGTCGCGTGTCTTGGATCTATCACAGCTTCCGCTCCGAAACATGCAAAGAGGCTGTGTCCACGGCTCAGGTGCCTCCCCGCCGAGGTCCTTGCACGCGCCGGAGCAAACGGCGGCAACAGCGACACGAAGCCGTCTTAGGAGACTGAGATGCGGCGATTGGGGAAAGAGCGGAAGCGTCGAGGGAGAGTAAACGAGGCTGCGGCGTGAGGAACGCATGGCTTTGCGGCGAAAGATGTTTCTCGCCCGTCGCAGGACTAATTAACTCCCGCCACAGAGTACACGGGATGCTATTGCTGGCTCAAGCCCGGGCAAGCCAGCCGGGATTACATGATTTTTGGCCTCTGATGGCCTGTGAAGCCCGCCACTCAGACAGTCCTTCATTCATCTGATGTGAAGGCGAGATGCCGTCAGAAAGCAAGACCCGTCACATTCGCTAGCCGCACAAGCTTCAAGTTCAAGGTCGGCCCAGCAAGGCATGCATAGAGTCATAGAGAGCAGCCGCAGCATTGACAGTAGCACGGCACGAAGCTCAGGTACTGTTCGATTCTGAGGACCCTCCTCCGGCCTGAGGTTCCCCTGCAGTCATGTCCATCGCTGCACAGGACTTGCAGTTGGAGTACGACGAGGCCTGCGATGAGGCCCGCGTTCCGCCCGGGTGACAAAGAAGCGGCGAGTGCTGCGCTTTGCTGCGCTCTCTATTGCTGCGGGGAGGTCATCGACTTGCTGGCGGAGCTGCGCGCCGCCACGCTGGAGGCCGATACCCCGCGCCGTCAAACACTCAGTTCTTTAACTTGAATGGATGCGTTCTTTTGGGCAGGTGCAGGAACTCTCCTTGCGGCTGAAGGCAAGTGGGGAGGGTTGCTTCGTCTGGAGCATGGGTGAGTAAGATTGCGGAATCTAGGCTCACACTCGCGATGTGCAAGGCCTGCCGGCGCACCAAGACGCCTTTTTCAACCCTTCCTGCCCCCGAGGACGCTCGTTTGTCGCAGTTAGGTACCTTCAGGCACCCACTCTTCGCACGCCAGTGCATGATGGAGGAGCCCAGGGCCCGAGACCTGCGCCAGCTGTTCGAGGTGTGTCGAACCGGAGCGGAGCAGATGCGCCTCGCTCGCACCTCGCTCTGGCAATTTTTGCTTTGCTCGCCAGTGGCTGGCCAAGACGGTGGACCTCAGCCATCCAGAAACCTTGGACGTGGGCTTCGAGGCAGAAAACAGCATGTTTCGAAGCAGCGATGTAGAGGGGGGTGCGCTTGTTTTTCGCTGTCTCTCTCTCTCTCTGGTTTGGGCCTCAAGCCGTCAAGCCTTTGAAGAGGTGCCAATTGGCGGCCGGTCTGTTCACCTGCACCGAGTCGTACAGTGGCCCTTGACCTCCCGGATCGCCAGGGCCTTCGCTTGAGTGCTGACCCGCTCACCGGCGCCGTGTGGGTGATTTGGAGGCCCCTGGAGCCTTGAAGCTCACGGCTCCGATCCAGCATCAAGCCAGTGCCTGATCGCGAGAGTGTCTGGGTGGTGTTTTTGTTTCAGACACTTACAGACTTAGGAGGCGCTCGGGCAGCTCTTGGCATCAACTCGAGCTGTCGGGAAGGCTCTAGTGGGGGCTCGCTTCAGTTGCGCGCTGCCATGCGCTGCCGAACGGCCGTTTTTTGTAGGTTGACTCGGATGCCCTGATGCACTTCTTGGCTGGCTGGGATCTGATCGCCGGTGAGCTGACGACAGCGGCTCATCCCGTGCCAGAGCCCTCTGTGCTTTCCCCGGTCAGTCCCTGGCCCGGCTGAGTTGAACCTCGCCTTGGCAGGTTCTGCTTGCACACAGGACATCCACGCAGGCAAGGGCAGATAAAGCGCAGAGCGCGGAATTGATGCCGTTGCTTCGACAGGGTATTCTTGTCGCAACGTGGCCAACGAAGGAGGCCCTACAGGCCATTTCCTTTGTCTCTGACACGGTTCAATCGTCGCCGGAGCGCTGAAGGTGGTGTACGCAGCACCAATCGTCCCGCAGCCAGGAGAGCGAGTAGAGGCACTTCTCCAAAACACAGCATCCTCGTTGTGCCAGCCACGGCCAGCCACGGAGAACAGGTCGAGTACGAAGGGCAATGCTACGTCGGAATCTTGTATGGCGTGGACAATGGCATGGCAAGCGTGAGGCGGGTGTTTGCTGCAGCATTCAAGAGTCGAAAGCATTTTCACCGCCGCAGATGTGATGCTGATCCGCCCGGCGTGATGACCGTAGCACCCTTGTCAGCAAGACTCTTAGACTCAAGCCGGAATCCCCTTTGCACGTGATCCTGTCGTGCCTGTCGCAGCATGTTCGTCGGCTTGACGGGGACTTGGCGCAGGAGGACGCGGAACTCAAACAAGTTTTGCTTCAGTGCAGCATGATTTCGGGAGCATACATGCGACGTGCTGCACATGCATGAGGACATCTCGCTGAACAACAAAACACAGGGGCATGACACTTCTTTCCGTGGTCATGTCATGCCATGAGAGCTGCATGATTGCAGCGGAGGGAACAAACGGTGAACCGGTAACCACACTGCTTTTGCAGCAGACTTGGGGGTATGTCATGTGGTGGCAGCTTCAGGGTGATTACTCGAATGAAGAACAAGCCCGGTGTTAAGATCTGTTCGATGGTACCCCAACAACTTCATCAGCAACAACCAGCAAGTTGTGGATGGCCCAGATCGAGCCGAAGTGAATGCGCTGCAAGCAAACGTCTGGGTTGCCGTTTGTGCTCGGCTATCGAAGCTCCGCTCTCAAAGTGGAAGCAAACAAATGGAAAATGGAGCTCAACTTCCGCACCGCTTGCAAATGCCCTGCCATTCCTCTGCCTCCCAACAAATGACTAGGGTGCACAGCAGTATGCCTCAAACCATCACGTCACACTTACAAGCTCGCTAATCAATTATTTGCACAAACTATGACCCTACGACTCGCAACCAAACCACTGCGTGGCCCAGGCTTCAAGTTGCAGGATCCGGCAACCGTTTGGCATTGAAACAACCGCCCATATTCTCCCGGAGGGCTCCCAGACAACAAAGCTTGACAAATTCAAGCTTTCCATTTCCTTGTTTCTTAGGTCCACCTCCGGGGTCATGGGGCAATGGCCTGATGTCTCCAATCTCGTGTGACCCACGGGGGGACTCCTCCACTCCTCCCTCCGCAGGGCTTTTGGCCCAGAAGGGTTCCTCCTTTCCCTTGTTAGGTCCGTTAGCGGATTTCAGCTGCCCGCCACTGGGGGCCGCATTCTGCGACCTCAAGAACAGCGGGTGTGCCATTCGGTTAAGCTAAATAAGGCAGGTTTACAAGGATTTTATAGGCATTGCAAAGCCGAGGCCTGAGAGCTCTATACGTCGGATCGCTTTGAGTTCCAAACTTGCCCGCGTAGGGGGCGGTTGGGGCACTTTCACTTTCAAGAGAGGCAGGAGCGGCTGCAGGATAGGTTGTGATGTCACTGTCCTGTGCGCAGGTACACAGCTGAACGAAAATAACGTACGCTGCAACATTGGGGGGCGCTTGCGAAACAAACAGCAACGACAGTGATGTCATAATTGTCGATACATAGATACACGGTAACCATGCAAATCGGCGTATCATACAGCATACAATGTAGCTGACATGTTGGAGACATATCGTGCATGTGTTGTGTCTGTGTTGTTGGTGGAGCCGGCTATTTACAATTTGTTGAGCCTTCCCGGAAGTGCGTTTGCTATGCCCTACAAAGACACTTGTCCGAATCTTTGTGCATCTCAATATATACTATCTTCCAAATCTCATGCGGTCCTTGACTTGTGCACAACATTTCCAACTCTGTTTGTGTCCAGCCGTCGAATCAATGAAGGAGGCCTTGACCTTGATTCCAGTCGCAGAGCGGGAGGAGGCAGATATGTGTGACGGTCATCTGCGGCTGGCGGCTGGTACACTCTCTGCATTAGAAGGTCCCGCTTGCCAAGATGCATCGTCGCACGAAGCAGCTGCCCCTGGCATGATGTGACATGGAAAGTGAGGAACCGGTTGGTCTTATCCGACTAAGTGCTGCCAAGAAGCTGTGATGTCGCAGAAACCGTGCTCTTCTGAGGTCTTCGGCGCTGTAGCGACGAGAGGCAGGAGCTTCCTTCTTCGCGAGCGGAAGTCGAACGCCACGCACGCCATGCCACGCATAGTGCGACAGGACAGTGATCGCTTTACCGTGAGCTTGCTACAGGTTCAGTTGTACAGGTTTGTAGGATTCTAGGACATGCATGGAGATCCCGCAAGATGGGAGTCTATGAATTAGAAGCATAGGTCTTCTGAAGGTGCTTTTGGCAGTCATCGGTTTCCGTTTCCGTGAACCTTGTACACAGTCGACTGCGAAAAGGAATTGCGCAGTTGCGCTCTTTGCCAATCGGCCGCAATGGCCCGACATGGCCCGACATGGCCCGGCCCGGCCCCGTAAGTCGAGCTCTGCCTCCCGCGACAGCAACGCAGACAGCTTCAGCTGCGGCTGTTGATGTATCATTCGCCTGTTAGCGGGGTCGTGCTTGCGACGCAGGCCATGGCTGTGTCATCAGTCCTGCCCCTCCTTGAAGGACGCGAAAGTTCTTCGGGAGGATATGGCATTACTTGGTTTTGTGCAGGCCAAACTGGGGTGACACGATCCGAAGCCATAGTTTCGATCTGGTGTACTCGCAAGATGAATCGTGGCAACTACGGGCTCTGAGTTCTTGCCGCCGTAGCCCAGTGGCACTCAGACCTTTAATTGGACCACCTTGCTCGTTGGTGGTGAAGTGCCCGCCAGCTGCTAGCGGCTAGCTCTCACCTATCTGCGCCAAGAAGTTGGAAAGAGCAGGGTTCGAGGAAAGTTGGCATGTTGCATTCCTGGCAGCGGCTATTGCGCACAAGTTTCAGCCTACAGCCTCTGTCAAGATAGACGAACAGTTCTCGCCGAAGTGGAACACTCAATGCCATGTTGTTGGACTAGTTAGCTAGGCTGTTGCCGGCCCCCTCGAAATTGCCGGCTACTGCAAGTGGAATCCAAAGCCCATCCAGGGCCGACACAAGTGTTGCGCCCAAATTGGCGGTAAGTCTACGGCGGAGCCAGTGATGCAAGAAAGCGATCCAGTTGTGCCTCAGTGCCCTGCTCCTGACACGTACCGAAATACTAATGCGGCATTTGTAGCCGCCTGTTAGTTTTGTGCTTCGAGGGCTTCCCTTCATGATGCCACAGCCTCCGCAGCCTCACAACTCAGAGCAGGTGGTGAGACATGTTGTGTGTCTCCAGCATGCATGCGTTGTTAAGATGACTTAATAATGCAGTCTTGACCGACAACCAGAGAGTGAGCTGGCTGACCACTTCTCTTCACAGCATGCTGGCTGCAGCTGGCTTATTCTCACGGCTCGAGGGAAGACATGACCTTAGACAACATGCAAGGCTGCAAGCATGCAGACACCTTGCCAGGTAAAGGGGCACGTAACGTAGACTTCAGTCGGCTTGATGGATTGATCGAAGTCGGGAGCCATGCTGCCAATGCACGTGGAGCCGTCGCCTAAGGAACCGTCGCGCTGAACAAACGGCCGGAAGTGCTGCCGTGAGGTCGGAGCGCCCCTCCTTGATGCATTCACCGTCGCTCTCAGAGTACTTGCGGCGAATGCTGCATTATGTGCTGGGCTTATTCTTACCCGGAACGAGCCGTAGGCGTCGAAAATAACGAACCATGAAACATGCGACCATGCGGCTTGCGCCGCCCTTGTGCACGGAACACATCTTGTGCAAGTCAAACTTTTAGCACAATGGAGACGCGGCCCTTTGATCGAGCGGGTAGCACACAATACACGGTTCAGCTCCGCATGGTTGAAGCGATTGATATGTCCAATTGGCATCGGGACGTTGCGGTCGAGCTGGCCATCCAAGCGAACACTGCGCACATATTACGTTGTGTTTGGAGCTTTCTTGAGGACCACTCCCGGACTTGCGGACAAACGTACACCTTGGTTTCCTGCCTTTGCAAACTCGTGTCACGGCGCTGTCATGGCGGCCTTACTGGTGCCTCTCTGCGAGACCGCTGTCTTACGGCGGTGCCTACAGTGCCTACAGCATGCCGAGCTTCCACGGAAATTGCTCGTGCCTGCGTAATCAAGCGTCCACAAGGGGAATGGGTCGTTTGGTTTGCAGTTTGCGGGGATGCCGCTGATGTTTTGCCTGAGCGGTTACTTGTAGCATTGGCTGGTTTTGACTTGCTGATGTGTTTTTTGCGCGGTGCTTGCGAAATCGAGCGTCTTCATCGGGAATGGCTGGTAATGATTTGCTGCCTGCTGCGATGCCACTGATGTGTTTCTTGCCTGGGGGCGTTTATGTGGGGAATGTCTGGCTTTGATGTGTTGTGTTTGTTCCCACTGATGTGTGTCCAGAGCGGGTGCTTGTGGAATCGAGTGTCTACATGGGAACTGGCGGCGCTTGGGTGCTGTGATGCTATGGGTAGTCACTTATGTGACTGAATTATGTGTGCGTCTGGAACGTTTTTTTGTGGAAAGAGGTGTCTACTTGGATGTTGCTGTTTCGGTCCATGCAGCCGAATGTCTGCAACAACCGAACAGCAATCCAAACGCCATATTTGCGAAGTGCGCAATCCCCAAAGCTTCTTGGGCACGTGGAATCGTTTTCGACTGGTCCTCCGGTTCAAAACTTTTCCTATCCGAAACAGTCTTGGTCACCCTCCTTGGCTGGAGACGCACACCTACCTCCACCTCGCACACATCATTCACACTGTCTTGCCCTTGCGCTTGTGAAGTCGAGTACCTGCATCGGGACTGGCTGGCTTTGTATTATGATGCCATTGATGTGACCGATGTGTGCCTCGCGGTCATGCTTGTGAAATCACAAAGCATTTACATGGGGAGTGGCCAGATGCCATGTGTGTTTGGGACATGGATTCCGGGTGCATGTTCCACATATTAGCCGGGCCGTCGCGGAAGGAGAGTGACCGGCTTTTAGACCGCATTCCGTTGCTCGACGATATGCAAGACGCATGGCTCCTTCTCCAGAGCTGTGCGGCCCCGCGCGCTCGAGCAGGGGAGATGCCCCTCCCACCAACGACCTTGCGTGCCGCCGATCTCGCCCAGCTGTTCGGTGGGCTTGGCCTCCGCTCTGCGAGCGCAGACCGCGGTGCTGCGCGTTTGGCATCTTGGCAGGACACGCTGCCGGTCAGGCACCCGCCGCTGCAGCCAGACTGCTGCAAGCCTTGCGAGGGGGCACCGCCGCTCCCTTCCACTGCCGCCGCAGTCACCGCGCGCGCGCGCACCTGCTCCAGGCCGGTTATGACGCCCCTGATTGGGACGCACAAGGCGCCGGCCCACCCCCGCCAGCATTTCCATAGAATCGCACATTTTTTTCCGAATATTCTCGCGGCTTCATTTGAGATAGTTTCAGTGCATTACAGCAGAA